AAACTGATCAGTTTCAGCAGCGGCTGAATCTGGACGCCAGTTCCGACTTGCATACAGATTCAACTTAAGAACAAACCTACAGTCCCTATCTTGTACGTAACCCGGGGACTGCCTGTATTTTACATTTTCATGGGCCCATGGTTTCTTACTTCTGGCTCTGCTGTGTTGCCTGTTACTGGCATGAGTGCACAAAGGTGAGCCTATTCGCTCTCGCTTCTTGTGCTGCAAAATCTAAAATCTGCCGCCCTCCTGCTTCTGGGGAGGCAAGCAAAGGTGCAGGCTGCGGATGCTGCATTTGAAAGGGACAACACCCATCTCCCTCTAAACATGGGAGTCAATTAGCATTGCCTCCCTCCATCGCAAATTACCAACAATGACTTTGTGCAGAAATGGCAACGTGATCCTTTCTACTGAGTGAATAACAATTTGCAGTAAACTGGCAATTTGCTTAATACGCTTGGAGTGTGGAGCCTGCTGATTGACCTGATGCTGCTATTCCAGTTGAAGCTATTTTCGCTCCCAAATCAGCCCCCAGCGCCTGGATTGGGACGCATGGCGACTGACTGTTACAAGCCGTGAGCTCTAGCCTCCCTGGCCCTATGTCATTCTCTTTGGAAATCCCCAGAGAGGGCAGTTCCCGAATCTAGCTGATTGGATGGCTTTGGGAGCTGCAAGTCGGTGTTATGAGGCTAATTCAACAGTAGTTGGCGGCGGCTGCTGCTACAGCTTCACATCGCCGTGCAGGAATAAAGCAATTGCAAAGTTTTCCCTTCAATTGGGATAATGCTTGGCTTCTAACTAGTGCATGCCAATGTAACTAATCTTAATGGTGTTCGCCTGAGGTGTTTCCTCTCTGCTCCTATAACCTTCCTACAGCTGTAGATTTCCGCATGCTCCCAAGTCCTGCCTTCTGTTCTGCAGCCACCAGAGCCGTTACAGACTGTTTTCTGTTTGGGATGCTGCTTACTCTCTTCTGCTGCTTAATCTTTTAAAATATCAGACCAAGTATCTTCTCCATATCCGAGCTCTGCTGCAATTGCACCATGGAATTGTTTCCAGAAGACGTGTTGTATACAATCTTGTTACACGCTATGGACGCGATCAGGAAACAGCTGGTCGTTTAAATATGAAGTCAGACATTGAAGTCACTTTCCTTTCAGCAGCGTGTTCCTTAGGAATTAGCCAGCCTGTTTAACTGTGTGTGTTACAACTTCGTGCTAATGACCATGGTGGCAGAGACGTGGTGCCTGATTTTTCAGAAGTGCACATAATTGCATGTTTAGAATGGCGCTTGAAATTCCTACAGTTGTACATATAAATTGCATATTCACATGCACAGCTGCAGTCCATCCGCATGCCCAGTTACCCAGTTTTTGGCAGCAGATGCAGTATTGTAACTAGCAATTGTGCATGCAGCTTTGAAAATCAACCTCCACGTGTTTATACATTTGCTAGTTGAGCAGGTCATTGGAAGCTTATGTCTGATTTTTACATCCAACCTACAT